TTCTGCAAAGTTATCACTGTAGAATTACACAATTCACATTACAAAGTTATTTATCAGTATTTGGGTTTGCATTGTTGTCGAATGACGTCACATTGCGGTAAAAGTTGAAACAGATTCAGGCGCCGTTTACACGAGGAGAAAACTGCTTGTATCTGCATAGTTTCGCGTGCGTATAGCCCTATTATTTACACGAGGCCGATAGAAACTGACCCCACAAACAATAACGGGTCCCAAGGTGGATAGATTTGCAAACGAAACGCTCTGGGGGGTCAACCGAGTCCGTGTAATCACCTCGATACGAATATTTCCTGAAAAAATAACGATAGCCCCGCCTCTCCCCACCTCTCCTGCTCACTGCTGAAGCAACTATCAAAAATAGCTGTGTTAATTAAACGCACAAGGGGTTCTTGAATGAAATAATATTATAAAAGGCAAACCAGAATTGTTAACGCCCAATATACTCCTTAAACAAAATAAACAGAGTCAGATTTCATGCATTGATCCATTATATTGACAAAGGAGGATCTCACCCGGTGTTTGTAGAGAATATCTCTCTCTTTCTGAGCCGTCCTCTCCACGGAGACGTGCTTCAGTTTCTTTCAGTTTCAGTTTCAGTTTCGGGGCTTAAACAGAAGGGTAGCCATGGCAACATTGCAGCGGGGCTGCTTGGGTTGCTCTTCTTCGCGGCTTTTGGTGTATTTTGGCGGAAGTTACAGCGCCACTTACAGTCCCAGCATATGTACTACAGCGTTTCCAGCGGCCTCGTTTGAACAGACACGTTAAATGAAACAAATGCATGTGAACGGAAGACTTTTTTGAATACGCATACTGTGCATAAACGCAAACGGTCCCGTGTGAGCGGGGCCTCAGTTCTTCTGCCAGAGCATCATTGAAATAATTAGACTGGGTTATTATTTGCTGTGCTAATAGACTTCAATTACTACTCTTTAATGGCCTAAAACCACAAAGGCAAGGCAAGGCAAGTTTACTCAGGTGTATTTGTACAGTGCCTTTGAAAAATACCAAGGCAACTTAAAGTGAAATCTACAATTAAAAGATAATGAGAAGGTGATTGAAGGGTATTAGAATGATTGACAGCGGTCTGATTGTTTAACAGGAACCTGCTGATGAAGGTGTACCTGTCAGCAGAACAACAGTGTCCTGATGTTTATACTGTAAGTAGCATCACATGATGCCTGTCGAACAGCAGTTTAGTATTTCACTGCTGCTCCATGCCGCGTGTCTGTCTTTGGCATACTCTGGGTTCATGAAATTAATTACTTCTGCTTTTCCTTGCTCTTTGATATGTAGAAGCGATAACTCCTCATGTGGATTAAAGACCTATCATGTCCAGGTGCTTTTTGCCAGAACACTTGATAACGATGGGAATTGGCCTTCACCTGACATGACCCTTCTTTGTAACAGTTATTGTATTTGTAAATTCAAGTACTTTTTATCAAGCACTGATTTAGTCACCTTAAGCTGGTGTGTTCATTATCTCCGCCAAGGAGACAGTTGCATTTTTTAAGCCTATCACAGGGCAGATGTACTAATTATGTTTCACTTTTGTTAACAGTGCAAGATATGGCATTTGTGTTGTATTCATTTGGTGTTGCTATAATTAGAATAATTTGTTCCTGACAGGAAAATCTAAGAGAGAACACTCTCAAAACGGGATTACAAGTCAGAGACAGCTTTCAACTTGTTTTTTAAACACTGAGTAATAAAATACAACATATCTTCTCAACAACAAATTAGGAAGAACACCTCCCAAATTGAGAAATTGGACAAGGAGCACATGAATGCCCCCTTGGCGTTTGCTCACTTAGAGCACCAATTTAGTTGTTTTAGTAATCTTTTTGGCTTGTATTTTGCCATGCATCACATACATGTTCATGTTCACCCCCATGTTCAAGTATCCGTTCTCCCAAACTTTTCTTATAACGTCCTGAATGAAGGATCAAGAATAATTTATAGGATGTAGATAAATCATTTGCACACGTGTAAAATATTAGTAGGAACCTTTATCACCATACCATCTTCTTTTTTTGTAAGCATCAGCCTAAAACTCACTGATTTATGTGTTGCTCTCCTTTTTTCTTTTGTCACATTCTCATTTGGGGAAGAGAAATTATATCTTCAACGCCTCAGAAAGAGAGGAAAAAGGGGGGTCTCTCCAACACTCACCACTACAGCGGTTTCACACCCCAGAGACATCTCCTTTGTCTGCTTTAACAAAGAGAATTCAAATCTGAAGACAGACGGTTATAGATTGCTTCCTCTTTCTCCTGCCGCAGAGATAAATGATAGGGATAAGCATGCTCACACACACACACACACATATTCTGACATACACGCAGTTCCTACTTTCTATTGTCTCTATCTACTTTGCCTCGCAGGCCCTATTGTCCAGTGTGCTTCTCCGCTGGCTTCCACCCACTGTTTTGCATACATTTGACAGTTGGTAAAACTAGTTTTTGCACTTCCTACAGGAACTGCAAATCAGCAGCAAAGATCAGTTAAAGCTGTCCCCAACTCAGCTGATGAGATGATATGTACATTCATTAGTTTCTTGTTATCTGCTGTTCAATGCTTTGTTTTCCTTTTTCCAGCCGCCACGCTCCTCATTAGTGCAGCTCTGGTCAGATCTGAAGGCTTTTAGCGTGAAAGCCTAATGGTTTAAGGAACGCTCCTAACTGTGAACCTCGACCCTTTGAAGCTCATGACCTCTTCATACAGGGGTCACAAGGTGTTTGCCCTAATGCCACGGTGACACCAAACACCTTTCCCCCACCCCCACTTCACCACCGGCTCTGCATCACAAACCAGAGGACGTAAAAAAGGTATTTAAACCACAACAGGTTTATAGATGGCTCACACACCCAGTGAGCAAATACAGGCTGCACACACCTCTGGGCTCAGATCTCCCCCTGTGACATTTACAAAGCACTAAATGTTGGAAACACATGCAGGGAAAAGGTGCTAACCCTCCTCCACCTGCCTAAAGGGCACCAGTACCCCCCCCTCTCATGGAGTAAATTAGCCTCATCTTTTACAACAGAAACCAGTCACCCTTCTTTACCCTCTAGCTTGTTATGCTAATGAATTTGTATCTGCCGCTTCCTCTGCTCCTAATGAATCCCAAACTAAAAGCAGTAAGCACATTTATCAGACATTCCTTCAGGGGGGAGGAGGTGTGTTTGGGAGCAGGGGAGTCACCTTATCCCTTCTTCATTTTAAAACTCCTTCCTTGCACTTCTCTCTAATCTTATGAAAGAAATAATGAACGGAAGCTGATTGAAGATCATGGAAGAGAAAAAGGGAAGTTTCTGAAGAAGCATAACATCTGCCTACATGGTCAATTAAACCTTACAGAGAGAGTTGAAAGCACAAAATCAAACAGAAAAATAGAGAAATCCCCTTACTTCTATCATTTCTGAGTGTCTTTCACTTGCTACAGTCTGTAATCATAAAAAAGCAAAAGGAAAATGAACCCTGCGTGGTTAGGAAAGGTAGAAAGGAGGTGAGAGAGGAAAGGTGAGGAGGGGGACAGTGTGTGTTAAGCCCCACCTAAGGGCTTGGAGAGTTTATTGTGAAGGAATGAGTGTGTGTATGTGCATGCGGGGTAAAAGGCAGTGAGAGGGCAAAGGTCAAAAGTCTGGGGGACAGGAAATTAGCCACACCTGAGGATTTAAGGAAAAGGCTGCTTGAAGCACTTAAGAGAACACACCAGCATGTCTGTCTGGGCTAGCAGATAAGACTATAAAGCTTTTCTTTTAAATGTCAAACATTGATAGTCCTAAAACACACAGCTGGTTTATTTATTTAAAATAAATGGAAGATACTGATGATAGGTGGATAGAAATGAATGATTCCTTTGTTGTAATGTGTTCTTCAATCCAACATCCATCCATTCTACAGTCCATCTTCATATCCAGCGCATTCCCTCCCCCTACTCTCTTTCTCTTTCTTTCTTTCCTCCCCCAAGCCCTCTCTTGCAACATGGCGGGGCTGCGCTTGGCCTTCATCCATTTCCATCTGTCAATTAGCCAGGAACTAAATCCCTCTCCATCTCTGCGACAGGACAAAGACGGCGGCATTGCACAGACTCCCTCACGCCGACATGGGACGCTGTGGAAAGTCCAATGGATACGCATGTACTCCATCTACTCACTTTACTACATGCTGTGGCCAATGTATCCTGATATCACCAGCAGGAACACGTGTGTCTCCCTGCTCTTCAACATTAAGGGTGTCAGGAGTTCATTGTACTAAACAAAGCTCAGTTATATAACACGTCATGTGTATACGTACTGAGCAAAACCCCTACAATAAGAAATAAGAACGATAACAAAAAAAATCACATTAGGCAATATATGGTGTTTTTAGACAATCCCAAACTGAAGCAATAAACACAAGATGCTGAACATTTTTAGTTTTAGATCCATATTATCTTCAAATCTGTAAGCTTTTTTAATGCCATGCATCAACACCATTGTAAAGCCCCCAGAGAGTACATTTCACTATACTGTTCAAAGCTATTTCAACCAAGGCCGGTGACAAAAAGCAATGGTCTGACTGGACCAGGAATCTAAAGAGGAAGCAATACAACCAACAGAAATGCCTTCAGATTCATTGGTTCATTTAATGTGTTTGCCCAAACTCTCACACTGGTTTTGACTGAACAAACACTTGGAGATCAGCATGTTTAATATAATATATGATGGCATGAAAGGAAATGTAGGTAATCAGAAGATAATAATGAAGATTCCCAAGCTCACCTGTTTACCTGATGCATTACAAATGTCAGAAACGCCAATTTGTGCATGTTTGTGTTCCGCATTGCAAAATGCAATAGCAAATGTGAATCAATTGGAATCAGTAGAGGAAGGCAAAGCAAGCCACGGTATAGTGCTTACACTAGATATGAAGATAACTCCTGAAATGAACTGAACATAGGGATCAAAGTGTCAAATAATCACTGGGTGTTTGAGACTCACCTGTCAGCATCTCCCTGTCCTGACGACGTGTTTCGATGCAGTGTCTCTCTGACGGCGGCCATGCTGTCGGGCAGACGGTTCAGGCGCCGCGTGTACATACCCAAACCTCCGTCAGTCATGTAGCTGCAGAACACAAGAAAGCATGTTAGATATCATCAACACATCGCAGATCTAAGTCTCAGAATGAAAGGGCTCAGAGAGGATGATTAGACGTTACGCAGAACCACTTTTTGTCAAAGCATTGGGTTAACACTCTTATTTTCTCAGAGATGCTTTTGTTGCATAAAGATCAGGAGGAGACGCAGTCGCCTTGCTGTCAATCAAGGCCAGACGGTTGGCAGTTAGTTCCCACACACACACACTGAAGACTCTTAACACATTTCTCTCATGTGGCCGGTGGTAAACAACAGAGGTCCGTAAAAGAAGGGGCAGCCCAGTAGACAGAGGATGATCTTTTTTCCCACAAAGAGGATATTGCATTCATCAAAGACTCCATCACCAACTCTGTGCTGGGGTATTATGATCGACTGTGTAGCTGAACATTCAAAGAAGCTAACACAAATACACTTTACATGTAAGTGTAGTCCACAGTTAGTAGGCCATTCACTTCATTTCATATCGGAACATCTCATTTGAATGGTCTTGATTTATTGGTTGTTGGAGGCTGACCGTTAGCAGCAGTTACAGTCTGACGCTGAGGCCCCGAACACTTACACAAACATTCCCATTCAAACTAAAACAACACCAACTAATCCCCCAAATATTTACCCGTGGAGGAGATTCCCAATGGAACTAAATATTGACTCATTTGACCCAGGTGCAATTCAATGAAATGTTTGCTGATTTTAAAGTTGAGGCTGTTGAAATGGTGAATGCTTTCTGTGTGGGACTGGGATGACTCGTCGTAGAAAAAATAAGCAGCAGCAAGAGTTCGAAACCACTGAAACACTTTCTGTGTTATCTCCGTGAGAATCTAAGCAAGAGGCAACCAAGCACACACACACACATACACATCTACATGTATATACAGTGTACACAGAGTACAGTGTATCCTAAAGACAGATCTCCTTTGTGTAGCCTTTCAAACTGCATCAGCATCTGAGCTACGAGTCAGAAACGCAACGGAGATCAGCAGAGAGTGTTCAGACGCTGGACAAACTGTAGACTTTATGATTCCTACATCTGCATCTATGATTATAAATGAATTATTTTTAACGTTGCAATCATTTTGGGTTGTTTATTTGTCCACCTGAGGGCACAAAACAAGCTAACAAGGCGGCTGGTTGTTTAATTTCTTCACCAGATAGCTTTTCATTTGATATGTCAGTGGGTTTTTCAACACATGAGGTGGATGACACCTGAGTCTTCTCCCTGGAGAGCCAAATCAATGAGCTAAAGGAGGCTAAACATGTTCTAGAGCTGAGGGAAAGTTCAGCGATGGAGGAGAACTGTGCTGATATAAAACAGATATATAGCAGAATGGTTCTGATTTGTTGTACCGAACAGCATGTGAATTTTGTTTTGGTAGCAGATGTTCTACTTTCTTACCCAATCATGAATGCTGTGGAAAAGCTGTGGCTACTCTCTCAGGTCATCTGGTGACCGTCTGCTAACCATTACCCATTCCAAACAGGGAGATTGGGCATTGTGTTTGCATGCACCAAAGAGCTAGAAGAAACAATAAGACATTTCTGACTTCCACTTTATTTACATTCACTAATAACCTAAGTCAGTAATTGCAAAAATGGTTTCCATCATTTATAATTTTGTGTTAATTAGTTATGCTGTTTTTTTTTTTATGATTTTGGATATATGGTGGTAAGATGAGAAAAATATTAAGATGCATTATGTTACAGAGTTGTAATCATAAATCCCATAAAAGTTAATCAAATGACAAGCCAATACGTATGTTTTAAGGAATCACCCAATCAATCAGACCGATAAAGGAATGAAGAAGTAACTTCCTTTGCTTATTTGAAAGTTGTTTTCACAATAAGAGAGACAACAGACAATGAAGTCAGATGAAGAATGGTAGGCTGTGGCTCAGTGGGTAGTGTGCTGGACTTCGAATCAGGGGGTAGCAAGTTCGAGTCCCACTGCAGTCAGCATGTCGTTGTGTCACTTCACATCAAATTGCTCCTGTGGGGATTGTCCACAGTACTGAATGTATGTAAATCGCTTTGGATAAAAGCGTCTAACAAAATGACATGTAAAGTAATGTAATGTAGGCTTTGAGGATCCACTCTGGGGGGGTTAGCTGTCCTTTAAGGGAAGCATCCATCACCCAAAAGCAAAGTCACCTTGAAGATGGCCGGGCAGTCGCTCACACATATTAATCCGTCACACTAATGAGTAACCGAGGCACCCCCGTTTCAGATGACTGTTAACCTGTAACCTCCTGCAGCAGGAGAAACGGGTCCAAACAAGACACTTTATGAGCTGAAACTGAGCAGCCAGGGAGAGTTTTTACAGCCATGTTGCTAACAGAAGCAAAAGTGATCTTGGGTTGAATTAAGCTGCAAAAATATTTGACTGTGGTACTGACAAGAGGAAATTCACAAAATGTCACGCCCGGGATAGAACAAAAACAAACAATCTCCTCTTTAGCATCTGATTTGATCGTGTAAAAACACTGTGACGTACCTTTCTGCCCTGAACATGGTAACACAGTTGGTCCAAAGGAAAATAAACAAGTCCAGGTGAGGGTTGATCCTCTCCGAAGCAAAGGTGTCCGTTATCAACCGTCTGGCTACTATCTGTTATCAGGTCTGAACCTGTGCTGCTGTGTGAATAATATCAGCAGGTGAGAGCGTGTTGGATCATGGTGATATCAGAAGAAGTGATCTGCAAACTCCCCATGTATAGATTATGTGTCAATGTGCGGCGTGTGTGTGAGTGTGTGTCGCTCTGTGGGAGCTCAGTGTCGGTATGCAGCCTCTCTCCTGCACTCCACATGCTTTTACCTCCTGGCTGGAGGTTGGGTCTGTCTGCGAAAGGTGGAGGAGGGATGGGAGGGAAGGGGGGGGGGGGGGATCGGGAAACATACCCCGAGCTGAGGAGGTGGAGGGGGGTCTTGTCTCGAAGGGCCGGAGAAGCCGAAAGGAAAAACAGAGGAGGGGGTTGGAGGCTGAAGCCGATGTAGATTCTAAACGTGGTGTCATCAGTCATGCTGTCTCTGTTGCAGGACTCAGAGATTACTAAATGAATTAATACTCAAGACGGATGGATGAGCTCAGCCTTCAGTTGATTATAGATGTCTAAATGTTTTTTCTTGCCCATTCATCTTTCAGAAGGTGCTTTTTGTGTTATTAAATAATCACTTTGTAAATAACAAAAGGGAGAAATTAGCAATATTTCCAGAGTTGTGGCACAAATACAATTCTGCTCACTTTCATATGTTTAAGGTGAGAGCATACATAAAAAAAAGAGAGATGTATCTCAAAACTTGGACAAATAAAACAGATCTGCCCACAAAAATGTAGTTTTCTTGTGATCCAATCCTTTCGTTGACATTTAACTGGAGGAATCCATTAGAGTGTGGGGCTGTTTTGAAATGGCAGCTCCTCCTCAGGCCTGTGATGGAGTTAGCGGCTAAACGGCCTGAGGATGTGGAGAATGGTGGGGGGAGGTCATCAGTCTGTGTCTGTTTCACATGGTTACCCATTGTGACTGGCTTTTAAAACGATTTCATACATTTTATAGACTAAATAATGTATTATTCAATTAGAAAATGAAAGCGTGATCAGAATAATAATCTATAATTGCAGCTTGATCACGATCAGATCATCAACAGGATCTTTCTTTAAATTTGTCTTTCTTCACAGGTCCGACCAAGCCTGGATATCAAGTCTTTTAGGATGAGTAAATGGCTGTGCTCCCCCGCTCACATCACTCACCTGTCCAGGTGTGGCTGTGGCTCAGCCTTTGTTGGCCGAGCCACAGATTCAGACATATCAAGTACTTCAAGAGCACTTAGCTCCCTCCACTTGTACAGCTGCCTGAGGGCTGTGAATCACAGGGAGCCCATGGGGGCCAGAGGAAGTTATTCTCTCTCCAGTTGTTATGGCTCCTGGCTTCCCTGAGCTTTTGCATTCATTTGACCTAAAATGATTCCCTGCAGCCAGACCCCGGTCTCCCCTCTTGGCTGTAAGAATGCCAGGCGAGTTGGCACCGTTTTATATCTCTATAAGATGATCATGATGACAGCAAAGGTTTCAATTGCACAGTGTGAGGGCCGAGGTATGCAGGGAGCCTGTTACAACATGGACACTTGCTTTGAGTGAGCAAATAAACAGGTTATCAGCGTATCAGCATTACAGAGTCTGCAGACAGAGAGATGGGATACTTGTGGGATCTGATCTGTACAGGATCAATGTTGCTTTTGCTACTGAGGATCAACAGGGAAACACTAGCGCCCTCTTCTGGCAAGCTCATACAACTCACAAAAAGGTCCTTTCAAAGTTTGTGTGTTTCATGTGACCAAAATGTTCTATTTGTATTGTTTCTTGTTGAACAAGCAACCGTCTATCTGTTGTGAATGATCGGAAAGAATGTTATGATCAACCATAACTCCAGATTTTTAACCTATTTACTTTTAACACTGTTATGTTAGTAGAATTGAAGGTTCTCTCTTTTTTTTTTTCTCACTCGCCTATGCCAAAGCAATGGGTCTAGATAACTATCATGCTTATTAGAAATATATATATATTGATCCTTTTGTTTCGACCACAAGATCTGAAAGCATTGGAAAAGGTTATGAAAGCCCAAGGGGACATCTCCGAATGTCCTACTGTACGTCACCAAGTCAAAAATACAAAGCGCATTCCATTTATAACGATAAACGCTGTGAGAAGCAGATCCTCACATTGGAGAAGATATAATTGGCAATTAAAAAACAAACTAAAATGATGTCGATCTTTAAAAACTGTCTACAGGATTAATAAAAGTCTGTAATCCACTCACCCGCTGGCGACATCATCAGTGCGTGCAGCGTTCTTGGTCAGCACGTCTCCATCGCTCATGTACCCAGTGACGTCCACGGCGATGCTGTCCAGGTCCGTGTCCTCCCCGGCTCTGTCCCCGAGCTCCACGCTGTGAATGGCCCCTCCCCTTCCTGCCAGCTGCCGCCTGAGGTTTCCTGGGTAAAGGTAGCGTCCTCCCTGGCTCCCAGCCACCCGGCCGCCACCGTAACTGTTCCCCAAAGAAGGGGCGTCGCCCGCCTGCAGACGAGGGCTTGACTGGCCCAGGCGCCATGACGACAGAGAGGGACGGGAAGAAGTGATGCTGAGGATGCTCCGACTCCCTGCTCCGCTGCTGTTGCTGACGGCGCTGCCCCCTCCGCTGCTGCTGCTGATGTCTGTGGTGACGTTGCCGTCAAAGGTGGTTTCCAAGGTGCTGAGAGGAAACAAATAGAGGTTCAATCTTAGATCTACATGTAAAGAAAAGGGATTTAAGGGGGCATTTTCATTTATTCTGATGAGTTTCTTTTCCAACATCCTTCATTTGCAGTTGTAGAAAAAGCCATGACACTGCTAAGAGAATAAACTGAGCCGACTAAGAGGCACACAAAATGTTTCAAGCTGATTTAAGGACATCAATGGATGGCTTTTGACTCCACGGTGTCTCTAAAACAAGATATATCTTGGCTAAAGGCCTATTTGTCCACCCAATTACACATTCATCTGTTAAAAGATAGACAAACAGTCAAACTAGTAGTGGCAAGCTGAAGAATAATCCTAGGTAGATAGATGAATAGAATGTGAGAGGGTTAAGTAAAGATAAGAGCTCCTTTGATAGCGTCTAAAACAGGAAATCAGGGCATTACATCAGAGCCTAAACTAAATGGAGACAGCTGGGTCAGCAGTGAGACGCCAGGCCAGAGGTCAGAAGTCAGTGGGAGGGAACGTGATTAGAGCTAAACCTGAATCAAAGGCGACATGAAAGACATGCCCTGCGATCAAAGCGCAACATCCCTCAAAAGAAGGATGAGACAGCAACAAAAAAGAAAGGCCGAGGTAATACCTGTAAACCTAGACAGACACAGTCTGCTGACCACGAGGCAGTTCTCCCTGACTCAAACCCCCAGCAGTTATCCTGAGTTGCCCCGCTTACCACTCAGCCGTGGCAGCCGTTGTAAGGCGCTACACTTTGATGATCCCCAAACAGAGGAGTTTTTGTTTTCCACCTCAACACATTTGATACACTTCTCTTTGAGCAGTGCTGAAGTAGCAATGTGAACATAAAACTAATTTAAGACCTAAAAAAGACCGAATAATAGCAATTTTATCTTTATTAATGTGTCTTTTTCACATTCTTGACAAATGATCCAGCATAATTATATGGATATTTCTGTTACCTTCACTTTTCTGTTTATTTTCTGAGACACTGGGATGGATGCTTGGAAAATGAAAGTTAAAAATACATCTTTACCTGTGTGAGACCTGAGTTCCTCGTAAGCTGGACATGGTCTCCTCCAGGTTTTGCCGCAGGTCGGCGATGTTCTTGACTGTACGCAACCGTCTCGTCTCTGGGTCTTCACCTGAGTGGGGCAAAATAGGAAAAGAGTTTAGGGACATTTACCAGCACAACAAGCCAAACACAGACCCTTCACCGTCAGCGATCACACACCTGAAAGGTCCTCGATGGACAGCTGGCTGCTCTTGGTGAAGGAAATGTCTCCTCCTCTTCCTCCTGAGCCGCTCTCAGTGTCCTCCGTATCCAAGCCGTCTGTTTGCGATCTGGGAAAAACAATAGGGCGACAGATCAGAAGGGGGGTGTCATTGATTCTGAATTATTGTGCCTTTAGTGGGAACATAATATTAGGCTAATTGTGACGAAAGAGGGATAAACCTGATTAGGAATTCAAATCTGTTTCAAGTCTTGTGACCAGAGTCCAAAATGAACGCCTGCTAAGCCCCGAATGCCGGTTGTCTTTGAAGGATAAATCGATACAGTTCCCCCGCTGCACTGGCTGGTGCATTGAGAGACCATGACGTTTGAATGCCTTGGTTATTCCCAGCCTTTGGTCTTTGCCTGATCCCAGACTTTGTCCCTGTCGACTAATGCGCACTCTGAGTGTTAGCCACTCAAAACCAAGGACTGCCTCTTACTCTGCTCCACAATAAAACGCTTGTAAAGTTTTCTAGTTGAGACTTGAAGTTATATTATTGCACTGACATTTGTCCTTGCTAGTATCTATCAATTAAGACAGGGTGATGTATTTGTAGTTTACCAGTCCTTGGCAAGGGAGGGGAAAAGCAATGATTGATTTTACATTTCTTATTTTCAGTCAAACATACTCTTTCTGACAGGCGGAGGTGACATAATCCTGCTGGTAATGGTACCTGACAGGTAAACAGCAACAGAAAAAATACTGAGGATGGGAGTGTTGTGTAAAGGTGGGTCGGTTAGCTACAGGTCAGGATGTACAGAGGGAGAAAGGGCAGTGGGGCAGGAAGTGTCATGAGGCTAATGAGTGGCTGTGGGGAGAACCAGAGGGACCGGCTTCCTTATCACACTGGGACCGGGACCAGAGGTCAGAGGCACACAACATCCACACACATTTGCCAAGATACAAGTGCACACACATGCAGACAATACACTCTGCGTACACACACAGGAACAAACACAGATGTGGCATTCCTAGTTAACAGTTCACAGATGGTAACATTCAGTTTTTGTTATTTAAGATGCTAACAGAGAATAAAATGTCAGATATTTGATGACTTCTCGCACTCTGACTTGTATGATCCTAGATACAGGGTGATACACCAATATTGTGGTTATTTACAAGCTTGGAAAGGCAAGAACAGCTTATCCAGAACTGTTATCACATATACGACTGAACAAATATACACCAGTACATTTTTGCCAACTTCAAATAGTCCCTGAAGAATTCAACCTAAGCACTTCTGGAAAATGTGCAGCGTGTAGGATGTGCAATGTGTAACAGTTTAATGACTTTGTTTTATCAGTGAAGCTTGATCTCACTGTTGAGTCCGGCTATTTATAGTATGTATCAATAAAGTTATACCAAGGGGCACAAACTAAAGGTGAGCAGGGTAAACACATACCTAATATGTTACATTTCCCTATATGAGGTTCTACCATTAGGACCATCTTTGGGGAATATTATGTCTACATATGCAAATGCATGGGCTTTATCTAAAGCTAACTTATGGTTAGTTAAGGATAATTCTACAAAGGAAAACAGTGTGTAAAATTAAGAGCTAAATGGGGACTAGTTTGAAAGAAATCATGCTATAAAAAGCTAAATCTCAATTTGAAATGTTTTGCAATAAAAACGATGTTGTGCTTCTCTAACCATAACGCATGAAAGACGACCAGTCATTTAAGGTTTTCCTACAATAAACATTTTATAGTCATAAATACATGTGACAGAACCAGAGATATCATATTTACTTTGTCTGTTATTTCTCCTTGTCTGCTAACCTCACATTTTCCCACTCCACTACCACAGAATGGGCTAATCTTCCATGTTCTTGAGTCCCAATACACAATGTTTATCAGATTTAATACACGTTTTTCACACGCAGTAGCTTTACCCAAAGCATGTAAATAGATATGTAACATAGGTGGAGTTTCCCTTTAACGTTACTCATCACCCTCTCCTTTGGGTAACTGCTCTAGGATCCTTACAAATATATATCTTTTAAGGTTAGAGATGCATGAACACTTGTGATTTGTCTTATTTTGTACTAATATCTGTATGGAACCAATGTCAGTGTGCCTTCTCACCTGTACATGAAAGGTGCGACGGTGGCCGTGTTGGGGTGGCTGTGGTGCTGTTGAGTCTGAGGTAGCTGCACGCTGATGGTGTTGCTGGCTGTGCTCTGTGTGGAGCCTCCCCCCGCCCCAGAGGAGGCGCAGGCCTTCCCCTCTGTGGAGGCCAGGCTGGAGGTAGAGCTGGAGTGTCTGCTGTCCCTGTCCAGGGGCCCTCGGTGCATGGCGAGGCCCCCTCCTAACCGCATGCTCCGGGGCCTCTCCTCCTTCACTGAGGAGGCTTTCCCCCCGACTCCCGGGGCTTTGCCTCCTGGCTTTGGTATTCCGCTGTGTGCAGGGGTGGAACTCTCCTTTTTGGACACTTTACCCCCCTTGGGTATGAAGCTGGTGATTTTAGAGGTCCTTTTGTTTGAGCCGTCTGTGTCTGCAGTTACTGGTGCTGCTTCCTCCTTAAGCTCGTCTCCCCTGAGCTCCGTCCTGTCGGGGGCTGAGATGCGTTTCCCCACCTCCTTCCCCTTCTCCTTCTCCTTCTCCTTCCCTTTGTCTTTGTCCTTCTCTGTGCTTTTGACAGAGCTCTTCTTGGCAGTCAGAGCTCTGCTGAAAGTGCGCTGGGCGATGCCCCTCAAGGCCATTTTGGGGCTGCTGGCGGATGTGGAGACAGTTGTAGCTGCTGATGGAGCTGCTCCGTAGGCCGTCCCGTTGCTGGTCCCGTTCATTCCCGGCCGGACGTTGCCATCGACTTCCTCCAGGGGGTCGGTGTTGGAGCCGGTTTCTGACCTCTCCAACTGAGCCGCTGCGAGCTGCCTGGCTAGGGCAGCGTTCTCTGCCTGGGCCCCTGCTCCATTGGAGGAGGAGGCGGAGGATTTGGAGCTTCCTTTACTGTTGAAAAGCTTTAGCTTCTCCAGCATTGATTTCTGAGCGACAACTTTAGGAGGAGCATCGGCCTTACAGGAGGAGTCCTTGTCCTGTTTGGCAGACTGCATGACAGACTGCATGGCAGACGCGGCGGTGCTGATGGAGGATGAAGAAGTGGAGATGTGCTTGGAGCTCACCGACTTGCTCCTCCAGGGTTTGCTATTGCTGTTGGGCTGGGGAATGGCCGTGGAGGAGGACGACGAGGAAGATGGGAGAGGAATCTGGGCGGAGGTAGCAGTGGGGATGCTGGTGGAGGAGCTGATGGTCACTGCAGATGACGGAGCATGCTCAGTCATCACCGAAGGCAGTGAGGTCATGCCCTCTGAGGAATCTGCAGCAGAAAGGAGAGGTTTCATTAACAATGAGATAGGAAGGTAAAGATGGAGAGGACACATCAAGCCCAGGGGGAGAGAAGGGAAACCAGATGCTGAGTCTTCTCTGACCCCACACACAGTGGCCTTATAAGGGCCTGGAGGTGGCCTGCCTGATGCAGCCAAACCTGCCATTACTTTCCTTCGGGCTGGCCACCAAAACTGTTAAAAACCCCTTAGCACTAACAATGAGAGAAGCCCATCACAAACTGTTTATAAAACCAATGAGGAGCCGACTCAAGTGCTTTAAAGTCTTTCCAAGCAGGCCGAGTCGAGGAGCGGTGCTGCTGCACTTATAAGGCTTGGACTTATATGGACTGCTTTTGGTCAGCTTCCCTCTGCTTTACAAAGAACCACTGTGTGAAAACATGGACTCAGTCCTGTGTCAAATAGATTCATAAACGGTAGAAAAACACAGGCTAACATGGACATGAACAGAAAGCCTTTTTTTGCAGTGTAAACATGCTCCTGTAAAACTTTGTTACGATTGTTCACCTAAAAATAAGTTACCTGGATCAATATGTGGCTCAGCAGCATCTCAACTAGCACACTTACCAAGAGCTGAAGAGTGAGAGTAGACCTGGATCCCTGGTGCAAGTCCCTGCTCTTACTGAGACGCTAGAGTGTGCTGTGTGTGTGTGTGTGTGTGTGTGTGTGTGTGTGTGTGTGTGTGTGTGTGTGTGTGTTGTGTGTGTGTGTGTGTGTGTGTGTGTGTGTGTGTGTGTGTGTGTAGGGTGGTGCTACCAGCAGCACTGAGTTTAGACCAGTAACATTTGAATATTCAAACACCAATGGCCAGTGAGAGAGACAGACTGCGCAGGGAGCACTGGGAGGAATAAATCATATTTTCCGTTGCAACATACCCCCACACACACACACACACACACAGAGTCTTTTATGTATTCCAGGTCACTGCTGTGGAGTTGTGCCTAGGCCTAGGTAATCATCTTAGACTTATGGGAGTTTAGGTGTTTAAAACACTGCATAATTGTGTGCTTTATTGACACGAGACAGAACACATTTCCAACTTGTTTCCAATACTGTATGTTTCACCTTGACTATTTACTTTTACATGTATATGGTCCCAGTGATGTTGATTGAATTAATTTTAATAGTAAAAGTTGATTTGGAAAGGATAACAAAAATGATCTTACTTTATTGGATAGTGTTACAAATAAAAACAAGACATTTGCTGCTTAACCATATATACAAATACTAAATATGGATCTTTCCCTGTGATTTGTCTGGAGACAAATGCACACATTACTCTCACAGTGCTCATTTGGTTATGAGTAAAGTTTCCTTTAATGTACGCCAGCAACATTAACTACATATTCATTTGTTTCCATGTGATCTCATTAAGTCAAAATGTACGCATATTATTAAACACTCATCCTGCTTGTTTACCCATTTTTCATCTGGCTCTCCATTTTATTTCACTTTTACTGCACCTTTCATGTCCTAATTGGAAATAGGCACTCGTTGCCGCCTCTCTTTTTCTCCGCCTGTTTAGCATTTAGTGCGAGCAGCCTGAAACAATGCAGCCATTAGGAAGTGATTAGAGCCCAATTAGCCGTGCTAGCAGTTAGCAATCGAAAAAGTGGGTCAGGTTGCTAATAGCTGGCGTCCTATTGGAGGAGGCTGAATGAGCAGGGGAACCTGCTGTGGGACTGGCCCTGCAGGTTTGGGATAAGTGCAGCTATGATATGGGCCAGCAGGATGGTCCGTGCTGTCCGTGAATGGGGTCAGCTTGGATTTTCGGGTCGGAAAGGAACAGAGGAAGAAAGGCAGGACATGGAGAGGCCCCTGGACACTGGGGACAGCTGCTCGTTGTCAGGACCGGACCCAGTGACCGGGGCTGACACGCTCCGGTTGGGTTGGTAAGTGGGAAGGAAAGTAGCCAAACTTCAACGTATGGGGTCAGAAGTCAGACTCTAGAGGTGGACTTGGACACCGTTGCGTCATAAACCCAAGCAAACATTCCAGACAAAGATCAAAACATAAGTCTGTTTTAAAGAAAAAAATATATACTAACATCAAATTCAAGTGTGGTTACACTTTTCTGCCAAAAGGTGGGGTAGATTTCATTAAGGGAAAAAACTGCATGCATATTTCTTCAAGTTTCTTCAAAAAGTTCCTGTTCAATAACATAATAAATACACAGCGTTTTTTAGTGTTGGTGTCTATTTTCTGGTTTGTTATGAATTAAGTGTAGGTCATTGTGTTGTATCATGTTATGTTTGTTGAACATAAAATATACAGAGAATTAAAATGTATGACCATAAACAGATAGATACAGATCTGGTACAAAAATCTCTAGTAAATATACTGATCACAAATTCTCAACAAAACGGCTGCGTTTCAAGAAACCATCTTTTAATTATCTGCACAAAAACACTTTTCCCTTCAAAATAAACACAGAAGAGTCTAAACATGCCCACAGAATGGGTGACTGACCTAATGACCCACCCAGTGCAGCCTTGGGCCCCTGGAACTGAACCGCACATTGCCCCTCATTCAGAGCGCTGGGTGAGCGATGTGCTTGAGGAAACATGTTGAAAGAATTTCAGTGTTTACGACTCAACCTGCTCAATTATAGCAGTCATTAGAGAATAAAATCAAGAGCAGAAAATGACAGCAGTGGAGCGCCAAAAGGAAAAAGGACAACAGACCACCACTGCATTTCTTGTCTGCCATTAAAAAACCTGTCTCACTCTCTTGGAGCCTACTGATACCATCAAGGCATTTTAGGAAATTAGTGGAAGTGCACCCAAGGCTCTTTTCATGGATGGCCACACTCACGTGTCTGTGCGTGCGCTCTTTGTGTTAATGCCTGTCTTCAGCCGAGGAAAACCGTGTAATTCCACACAAGTGTCAACAATCCTTTGAGTGTGTGAGTGTGAGTGTGAGTGTGAGTGTGAGTGTGAGTGTGAGTGTGAGTGTGAGTGTGTGTGTGTGTGTGTGTGTGTGTGTGTGTGTGTGTGTGTGTGTGTGTGTGTGTGTGTGCATGTCCGTGCATGCATGTAAAGTTTAAGAGAGAAGGGGATGTTTTTTCTGCTCAGCGACTTCAAACGCTTTCACCAGCAGGACTGGTGACCACAGCAAATATACTGCAGTGTGACCAATCGCACACATTGAGTTTAGCAGTAAATGCATTAGAAGTAGCGTCCGCTGACGCTGTTAAGACATCACAAGCCCTCAAACCCATCTCATGGTCACACTGGTCACAGGACTTTCAACTAACACTTCTAAGTCAGTTAGTGACAAAATTGCTGACCTGAGAGTGCCCTTGTTTTTAAGTTACGGTTCACAGAAGATTTAAAGGTGAGAGCAATGTAAGAACACCATTTGATTGGCTTTGTTTCATTTCATCATATCTACATGGACAATTCGTTTTGGGAATCTTCAAATTATATCGGAATACCGACTAATATCCGACTGGAACACAGTTTGAGGCTGCAGGTATTTGCTTACTCATCACGTTCTGATTTCAGAAGCCTGCGCTCTCTCGCTCTCTCTCCCTCCTCAGTCATTGTGCTCCAAAAAGTGAGAGGGACAGCCGGTCTTTTGTGTGGCCACTGAAACTTTTTAAAGTTTCTCCACATGAATACACTCAAACAGTGACGCTACAGCTCATCAGAAGCCTATTCATTCAGCCAGGGCACCGGCCATACACACACAGAAATGCATCAGAGGCATGCACAACACACAAACACAGAACCACAGGTGCCCCTGCTCTCTCGGCCTCTCTGCTCTGTGTCACTCGGTGAACACCCAGATGCTGTCACCTTGTGTTAGCACAGCACTGCAGAGGAGACTCAGGTCCTCTGCCTCACTGTACAGCCGTGCAGCAACCATTCTGGTGTCAGAGCCATTGACACAGAGCAGATCTGGTTTCACAATAGAAGCTGCAGGTGCCTCTAACCATCTAAACCTGCAGCAACAGCGTGCACAACAAGTATGGACACTAGATGTGTAGCACCAAGGTACAAACATGCACTTTTGAGGCAGAAACTACATTTTAATGACCTCTTGAAGAAAAAAGTTTGACACCAATAGAGCAAGACACAAGCTAGTTAGTTTACCAATAATCCCTAAACCCCTTTACTCTTATAAATTAAGTTACTCAGGTTCAGGACAACTGACTTGACATCTTACAGCAAAACAACCTCCCTGCTCTCTGTAGCGTCACAATGCACATATGTCTTAGAACTACAACAACAAACCAGTAAAAGTGACAACATCTGCTACCATACTTTCAAAGTTTCAATGCAAACCCAAAGTTCTACATCTGAAACTGTATACTGTAGTCCTAGCTCTAAGCGATCTACAGAGCAAGCTGACAAACCTCATAGGTGCTGCAGACGTCCAGGAGGAAGAAGGAAAGAAGGAGAGGACAGGAGGAGATGGACAGGAGAGGAGGGAAGAGTTCCAAACTATGGCCGGCCATCCAGAGAGTGCAGGAGGGAGAGGAGGAGGAGGGTATGGCAGGGGGAGGGGCTTGGCAGCATGTCAACAACATGGCCAAAGAGGGGGGTCGACAATTGGATTCTCATAGTCCTGCTGCCAATGGCCTGCTGATCCCAAAACATATACACAAACACTTTCTGTCGTACTGTTCCTTTAACCCTACCACCGTCCCACTTAGCAAAACAAATAAATAAACAGTCCAAAACACAACACTCTGCAATGGAAACCTCACATCAGAGTAAGTGCTTCCCAGCGCTACTGATAGTGTTGGTCCCAGTTAATTTGTCACTTTAAACACTGACAACAGATTTTCTCTCTAATACACACAGGCATGCACACTGACACAAACACACACACAGTTGTCTCTCTCGCTCTCTGGGCGGTCAGAATTCCCTGTCTAATGCAGGGTAATGAGTTTAGACTGCGAACACTAACAGTCTATATAAAGCCTTGGCCCGCTGAGTTGTGACGGAAGCTGTTTCAACACAGCTCTCACTAAATATACTGCCAAACACACTGGCAAGTTTGTTTGCTGGAGAACTCAAACAGTGAGCAGCACAAGCTGAACTGGGTCAGGGGAGATGGGATTAAACATGTGAGAATACATTTCTGTCTACAAATGAAAATAGAACTTTCATGGCTGAATCATCACCGTGAACAATGAACAACTGGTTCAGTTATTAAAGTCAAAAGTACAAGTCTCCTGGGTGGTGTAGAAGAATACCAAACTGAAAGGAAAACACAACCTTTCTCAGGATCAAAGTTCAAGAAGGAACAATACTGCTAGAGTGTTTGACTGAAACAAACAGGCAGTGCTTATCCAGACTTAATGTAGAAAAAAGTAAATAGAAGACAATAGACAGACACATTCATTGATCTTCCCGAGTAAAGCACAAAGAATACAATGACACCATGAAGAATCTTTTACATTGTTCATTGTTTGTTTATCTTCAGAAAGAAATGCTGCTGGGATGAGAATGTTCACCTGACCTTACTTACGTATAGAACAGTCCTGAGGCTGCAGAGAGTGCGTTTACTTCAACATCCAACAACTGAATGTTTGTTATAGAAAGTGAGGATAGACAATCTCTCCTACATCATGATTTTCTGCTCATGTACAGGTTGTTGATTTCCCTTGAAAAGAGACAGTTGTTTCAGAGCAGCACTGCATGCTGGGGGCTACTCATAATTATCTGGCATGGTCTCTAATACTTTTTCTGGGTCTCCAAGCAACAGAGTAAACTTGCAATTTCACCTACGATAACAAAAAGCCCCCAGAGGATTACATCCATAATTCACCATACATGTTTCCTAAACACTGCAAACATAAACATTTGAAGAGCTGCTAAGTTACTTTCTCTCACAAACACAATTCGTAAAGGGCATCTCAGTTAAATGATTAAGTCACTTTAACTCTTCCATACAACAGTGAGTGAGTGTGTGTGTTTGTGCGTGAGGCCTACCTTTGTTCAGGTTGGCTTTGGTCTTGTCGCTGAAGCCCTGGCTGCGTCTGTTCCCAGCAGCACTGACCGAGCCTCTGGTGGGGATGTCACCGCCAGCAGTGGACACCCGCGCTGAGGGGCCAGGAAGTCTAACGGAGAGAGAGAGAGGGAAGTGGCGGAAATAAAAAGGAAGGAAGAAAGAACATATTCAACATATAAAGCCTTCATCCTACACGCATTGAAGGAACACATTAATGCAGGTTTACAACACATTCTGCTGGAACAAATCCAGCTTTCTAAACTCCAACAGGAGGGATCACTTAGTGAGGGCTGAGAGAACAGGGAGCATGCAGATTTATTACAGCAAGAGCTTTATGTGGCAGGAAAGAGCAGCACTAGGTTGTTTTTTCATGTTACCGTATAGCTAATCTGTCACAACATGTACAACACGATGCTAGCATCTACTTTCACATCACATGTTCTAGGCAATCACTGATAAGAAATGGCATAAAGAGATAAAATACATTCTTCATTTGAATGAAAAGACATTTTCTGTCTAGTCTAGACCAATGATACACACAACTTATTTAATATGTATGATCTTTTTCAAAGGATATGAGCCTGCCAAATATGATGGACAGATTGCATTATCCCACATAAGCATCACTCTGGCATTGTGATCGATATTGTTTTTTACCTTGTGACCTAAATCGAAGCAAAAGAAAGTTGACTGAATTCACTACAAACTTTTGACGTTCTTTATTGATTTCCGAGGTTAGGAGTTCTCTTGCCCTTTTGTTGGTCTGCAAGGTCGAGTATACTTCTAATCGATGCCTAAACTAACCAATCAGTCATCCTGCTGTTTAGGTTTTTGCTGACTTTCTTCATGCTTTACACTACCCTTAAGATACATCCGGCTCTTCTTCACGTATTTGGATAGGTAATAAGATACACACAGTTTAATAAATCTAAACTCAGCTATGTTTGCAGCTCTGTTTGCACCTACAGTCATCTAATGGAGAGGGATGAGCTCTCAGCAGTGTGACGTCTCAGTGTGTGTGTGTGTCTGTGTGTGTGACGGGCTGACAGAGTGCAGGTCCCAGTGAGGTGTGAGCTCAACAGCCTCGGATCACATGTCCTGCTCCTTTATTTCCCACATGGCTTACACAGGATATACTGGCCATGGATAAGCCTTGGTGACATTTTTGACACCTTGATTTCATATGGTAAGTCGTTCCCGTTTGTCTTCGGTTAGGTCTGTGAGCCGAGCTGTAATCTGACCAGTCCGCGGCACACACACCGCTAATGAAATGCTAATTCACAGGCGGTGATATCATCATAATCATCATCATCCTGGGACAGTGAGGCGGATGCTGATAAGCAGATTACAGCGCTCTCTCTCTCTCTCAGCTCTTGTATACATTATAGAAAGTCTAATTTCCGACATGCCATTCACTTTGGCGGGCCTTTATTCATCTGGCCATTGAGGGATAATAGGTATTACCACATTATTTACTCAACAGCAGCCTAAGATCATTTGGCCTTCAATTATGGCAGGGCAAGTCAGTGTGCTGCCTTCCCCTTTGGACTGGCTGTGTGGAGAAGAAAGATTCTACATTTAAAAAAATGTACATCAAAATGTAAATATATGCCCCAAAGCTAATATGGCTGTATTAATTCTTAAAAATAAAATACAGGCCAAATAATTTTTTGGGGCAAAACAAGTGTTTTTTAAAATGCAGTTATATTTGAAGAAATATGTTAACTTCTTTATCTGGGTCTTTATAAAAGAACATGTTAGAAAGGTTTTTTTTTCAAGTGGATATCAACAGGAGCATCTCAACTCTTCCCCTTGTAGTTAAGCATGATGACCAGAGGGTGGGGCTGTTACATTGCTTTTGGAAGGAGCTGGTGTGGGGCAGGTGCAATGCATACTGAATTTGGGATGGGCACAGCATGCAAAACCACATCCTGAATCCAATTTCAAGGTGCATCATCACATAATACATTATTGCATGCTTAAATAATATTCAAATGTGAACGCAAAAGGACTCTAGTCTAGAGCATCACAGTTAACGCAAACGGCAGCTACATTTGAACAACGCATATTATAGACTCACATTCCAGCCACTACTGTGTTAATTATTAATGTCACATTATATGGGGGATGTGCTTGTCGGGGGAACCTGCACACACACATACACACACCATTACTTAAGGGTTATCTAAAGGTCTTTCACAGCCCATTTAGCAGGCTTGCCAAATGAGGCGCGCTGCCAGACAGACAGGGGACAGGGCTGTCCGAAGATGGAGTCTGGAGCTTTAGTTTCTATTTGCTAAACACTAGCACTCATGCATATTTGATAGTGCTTGTAGTAGAGGTTGCCCTTAATCTCAGACAAAGAAAAACAACATGAAACTCTTTATAGTACAAAAGAACGGCTATCTTTGATTAGGGGCAATCTCTACCTTCCTATTTCAAGGAAGGGGGCGGGACTAGGGGCGTTGTGGAGGAAGGGGAGGAGCACGAAAAACAGAAAGGCAGAAGACGCTGACCTAGAGGTCTTTTTCTGACCAAGGGAAAACTTGAGCAGTTTAGAGCCATCCCTAGAGGAGGAGAAAAGAGAAGAGAGATATGGAAGAGGACAGAGAGGTCAGGTTTACAGTTATAAATGACACGAGGCGTGAACAGGAAGACAGAGGTGACATCATGATGGAATAGAACAGCAGAAACAGCAGGAAAAGTGACAGACACAAACACCTTCACCCAGTCTCAAGGTTACGGCTCCTATATTTCCTCACCTGGACTGCATCTCGGCCTGTGCTGCTTTCTGGGCTGCGAGGGCAGCAGTCCCATGCGTAGAGTGGCTGAGCAGGGCCGGGGCGCTGCTCTGCTGGCTCAGGGGGGGGTGGGCGCCCTGGGGCTGGGCGGTGGGGGGATAGGAGGACTGCGGGTTCTGCCTCTGGGCCTGCTGCTGCTGCTGCTTGTAGCGGGACAAGCTGAAGAAGAGGCCGAGGATGGCTTTCAGATTACCATTCCGAATCTCTGTGGGTCAGGCAGAAGGATCATGTGGATTATTAACAAAGTAAAAGGAAGGACAAGTGAAGAAGAGAAAAGTCAATAGATGAAAAGTGAGGATGAGAAAATAATTTGACACTTGAAGAATGATGGACTATTCTTAAATAACAAACTGTTCTTGTTGCAATGCATTGTTCAGCATCAACCTGAATGTTATTTGCTGTCTACTAATGGCTATACCTCTCCAATGTATCTCACATATTGTTTTACTGCAAAAGAAAAGGTCTCCATAGAGTACTTGGAGAACACTGAACCAAGGACTGACCCATTGCCCGAATGATGTCTTTATTATTACTAGTAATCAATTTGATGTAAACCCCCAATACAATTATTTTTTGCAGCAGGCTACATTTAAATACTGCATTAGGCACCGAGGTGTATGGTACATTAGTTCTATATGTGCTCTAATCAGCGCCTGCTGAGCCTTCATGTTTCGTGTACTGTCTGGCATTAATGTAGTGTGTCAAGGCAAACGAGCTTGCCAATAAAAATGCATTCATGTTTTAAGTTGCCATTCATCTTTTGTTTCCATAGCAGGAAGGGCATTTGTTTATTAGCCCAGGTTTGTGTCTGACTGTTCTTCCGGTGAAAGTCCTGCTTACCCTCTGAAGACAGACCCTGGATGTTGACTCCTTTGGCTGCCAGGAAACTGAGGCAGGCATCGATGTTCTCAATCTGGACAGAGAGACACAGCTGTAAGACACGGCACCCTGCACATTTCCATTCAAATTTGCATATTGGTATAATGTGAGTAAGCGTGCTGGTCTATCGTCTGCACGCTTCTCCTGAGAGCGTAATGGCAACTACAAGTCTGCTTTTAAAGGAAAGCTGACAGCACAAAATATTCTAATGCATTTACATTTTCAAAAAAGATGTGCTGAAAATTAAATACAGATCAATCCATTTTTCAATATTGAGTAATTTATTATTATTTTAATAATACAAAATGCTAGATCTGCATGAAAATGCACATAACAGACAATCGTGATTGACGGATAGTTGCCATACTTTGTGGAGAATGTATAATTCTCGGTTAGGAATATTTGTACAAGGATGACGCGTGAGCTCAAGAGTCAGACTTATGACAAATGAAATGTATCATGTTGTTGTAACAGATTCAGAAGATGTCTCAAATAGTTGGCAGCTATAGCCTGTTACAAATGGTATGGGATATATGTTATGAGATGTGTAGAGAAATACGTTTTTTTTATCTAACTAAATCAACATTTGTTAACTGGTTTTCAAGAAATCAGATTGTGGAACAAACAATGATACCCAAAACATACCCTTTCTGACAGACATAAACTGACATGCCACTGCTGGGGAGGTGTATGAAAGCGTTATACTGTAGTGACTGACTATTCATATTGTGTTTTGGAAAGCTCAAAATGCAATATTGACCATATGGTGACATATTCAAAACATAGGCAGAGTTTTATCAGCAGTGCAGCAAGAGAGGCAAACCATCAATACCGACACAGTTGCTATGACAGCAGCCTTGGCAACCTGAGCCCAGACTGCTGAGCTGTCACTGCAGTGCGAGAGGATTTGATAGGCAGACAGGCTTTGTTTAGAGCCCATGTGAACTTTTATACAGCGAGTGTGCACAAAGTATAGCACATAAAACAAGTAATCAAGCAGAGTCACTGCAGATTAATGATGGATCAAAGTTGACCAACTGTTGTTTCCAATGAGCAAACACAGCAGGTACAGCGCAACATATATCAATATGGCACTGCCATGTCTTTAAATGTTAGCTGGTGCTCTTGGCAAGTCAATTTACTGAAGAATTGACTGCAAAATTGATTTTAAAGCATTTTACAATATGCACAAAGGTTAAAGAGGTGTTCAATCTCGTTTAGCATGACATTTATTACCAGTGAGAGTGGGTTTATAACACGCAGAGGCCAATCTACCTCCATGTAATATACTTACAACACACCTGTGAGAGTACAATATAATCTCCCAGCCAAGGGAGTACAGATATAGAACAGTGATACTGCAGGTAAACTTAAATATATATGAACTGTGTACTTTGTCAATGAGGCTGGGTGTGGGCTGCAACCGGGAGGGTCCCGCTCACTTAAGATTAATGACATGATTACACTTAATATGCACCGACTAAATATAGCCTGACCTACAGCTCCCTCTGTAAGGTAGTATCCGACTGTGAGGTGAGCAGCGGAAGTAAAAAGCTCCTTCACATCCCCTCTATTCAAATACGGGATACATCGAATATACATACTGATGATAAACATACTTTTATTAATTACATTTGACTTCCACAGACTAGCATGTCACATTTAGTCAAATCGACAACCATAACACACAGAGCTGTCACAATATCAGATTTTCACTGCACGATGATCACAGCCAAAAAACTCTATTGCCACATTGATAGAAAACCTGTAAGAAAGAAAAATAATATTCTGCTATCGGTCAAATGTATCTTTAACTTTGTTATTGTGGGTTTTGGTTATTTCTTGGCAAATGAATTAAACTTGCACTAAGTAAGAGAATAGAGAGTCTAAAATCATAACTGTAGAAAAGGGTATAAGAAAGAACATACATCTATTATTAACACCCTGTACCACTATATAATAAGACTGCAGTTACTATTGGTTACAGCTAACATATATCAGCATCAATCTGATCCACGTATTACTATTAGCAGTGGTGGAAAGTATTTCCATTTAATGCTACTTTATACCTTTACTCCACTACAATTGAGGTGAAAATCATGCTTTTTACTCTACTACATTTATTTTAACACTCAAAGTTACCAGTTACTTTGTACACATGATTACACTTGTATGCTGATATGGTTTGATGCAGTAAGCTACACAGTATTTCAAGTATCTAAATTTGGTCCAAATTGACCAACCACAATACAAAAATAGGATAATATTATAACCATAATAATTAAATACTGTGAAGATAACAATTCTGCATAACAAGGACGTGTACTTTTCATACTTGAACTACATTTAGCCGACAATACTTTTGTAATCTATATTGTTCTGAAAACGGATCATGAGTACTTTTACTTTGTGTACTTCAAGTATATTTTGATGTTAATATTTTTTTACTTTTAGGTAGAATTTTGAAATTACAACTTATACTTGTAATGGAGTATTTTAAGACCATAGTATTTGTACATTTACTTAAGAAAAGGATCTGAGCACTTCTTCCAACACTGACAATTAGTTACACTCACAACCACAATAAAACCGACCAACTACCACAACTCTATTATCCACATTTACGACTCAAATACTGTTACTTCTATCCATTACCACAACACAAATACATAGGCTACATCCTTTACCATATCAATAATGGTTGTATATGTTGCTAACCAGTTGCTAATCCACCATCTCATCCCTAAATGCTGTCATACTGCCAGTTTCATCAACACCCTGAACCACCATTACCACTTCTTGTATTTGCCTAATGTTTGCTTGGTTACTACGTGTTGCATTATCTATGGGGGTTACTATTGTACCACATTGTTATTAATCAATACAATCCCGATTACTTCTCCTCCTGGTTTAAACTCAATGTCTCTCTGAGTTAGTGTGTGAAGAGAATTGTGCATATTTAGCTGAAACCGCAGTGCTGGCCCTGCTGTCATTTCCGTGACCTCTGACCCCAGACACAGCTGTGAGAGGGGCTGACATATGCTGCCCTTGGAGGTGATGCAGCAGAAAACATAGTAACAGTAGGAATGCAAACCATCGCCCTCTCTGAATACCACAGACTCTTTAAAAATAAACCTCGCCGAAATACCCCATCGGCATACCCAGAGACTCTCTGAAATACCACAGGCTTAAACTTTATTTAAGAGACTGAACCGCTCCCCAACTGTGCCAAATTCCCCGGTAAAGTTAGAGTGTAAATAGCAGCAGAAAATACACATCATTAAGATCCCCCATCACAAATGCCAGGCCCGTCCTGCTGAGATGCTCCCCAGCCTCTCCGGGGGTATCCACACTGAAACGTCCCGCTATTTAAAATCTGCAGAGCCTAGAGAATCCAGATTAACTATATCAGGAGACGAATCCCTTCATCTATAATGGGATCATAAATAAGTCCTCCCTTGATTATTCTTTCATTGCTGTGTACCAGTGATCAGTCTGTGATGTTCAATACCTTCCATAGCATTATTAAAGGTCACATTTCTGTAGGGAGTCTGGCCTACAGGTTTTCAAATGCTTTACAATTAATTGCGACATCCCCAGTATGAATCCAAATCAGACCTTTAATGTATGTCAACCCCTTATATCCATTCGTTTCATGTCACTTCTAAATGCTAAAGGCCAACACCGCATTTTTATACTTAGCAAGCCATACCTGATAAACAGAAAATGTATTATCGATCATACAGCAAATTGGCTTGATGTTCTACAAAGTCATTAACAAGTAAAAATGAGAATTATTTGCCATTTAAATGTCTTAAATGCAAGTATATTATTTCTTACTAACTAAAATGTGCTAGTTAAACATGTCAGTTTGGGTCCCAGTATTATGTGATGGGCTTGTTAGCATTATTTACAACATATTTTACTTTAAGCCCTTAGTCATTAAGTCCAAGCTAATTATTGAAACAACACTTACTGATAAACTGATACAAATAATCAACAATGAAAGAGATTGTCAGTCGCAGAGTTACTGAACATAACCCAGAAGATTTTGATTCTAATGTCCCATTGTTGGACTCATTCGTCTTCTGTTCTCCACAAACTTAATCAAAAGGCTGATGTATAACTGAAAACATACTCAAGTTATGTTATACAATATGCTCAAAACGACCCACTCTAGCACACACACATGCAGTAAAAACTACCAAATCAAGATAACACTAAAGACAATATTCTTAATCATTCTCTGCTCAAACCATTCTGATAATCAGAACAAAAATACATCTAAAGAATCCCGGAGAGAGAAACCCTCAACACATCCTCTGAATCGCTGAAAGACACCGCCGGCAGCGCCTACCTGCCTGGCTGAGAGATGTGTTCCTGCAGTGTGACGCTCCGCCCGGCCTCACACCTACACCCAGGCCACCTTCACCTCCTGCTCTGCTCCGGCAGCGGCTCGGAGGTGGCCAGACGACAGCCCTCTGAACAAACACTTCTCCCCATCACAGGGATACTAACGTTGTGTGTGTGTGAGAGACGGAGAGGCAGGGGGAGGGAGTGTGTGTGAGAGTGTGACGTGTATGAAGCAGGATTTGACTGATAGGAGCTTTTGAAGGCTGATACTGAAGCCGGTATTGTTGAACCAAAGTTGCGGATCCTAAGCAAATTATTGTATACATTAAATTACACAAATATTATGCTTAACAGAATGACAAAGCCCCAGAGGCAGCATTCGGAGAATCAAGGGAAGGAAAGTCTCAACATAAACCAGAACAAGGTTTTCTGTGGTAGGTCAAAAACTCTGAATTTGACTGTAAGTGTTAAGCAGTTTTTGAACCACACCAACACAAATGTTCAATACGCTCATATGCCTTTAAATGGTAATACTGGTTTATACCTTGCAATTTTTACATGACGACAGCAGCTACATAGACGAAAGCGCTCGAGCATTTGACTGTCTGACTGTTGGATTCTGATCCTGTAACATGTTAGTGAGACAGCGTGTTGTCAGTATGTGTTCATGTGTGTGTATAT